TCCACGTGCTCCCCGTACCAGGACAACATGCAGACACACAGATCCATGCATGCACTCATACACACACTCAGACACACACTCCCAGTCACACCTGCCCGTCTTTGAGGTCCGGCCGCAGATGCCCTGGACTTGCCCAGTGGACGGCCCAGAGTATGTTCCCCACCCCCCCAGATCGCTTTTCTGTTATTAACAAACTTACTCAGCCATCTTTTACAGTGATTCTGCAGAACTATGTGATTCTTTTCTACATTTCTCTATTCTAAAAACAGTTCTAATCAAATTTCTTTCTTTCAGTTTCTTTTTGTCCTGAAATTTTAGTGGATCACTCTGTACACTTGCTATCTTCCTTCACTCCTACTACTACCCTATTCGTTGCTGAGATTAAAGCTCAAATTCATCTGTCAATTAGATCCTGCTTCCACCCTCCTCCTAAAATCTGATATCCATTATTACTGAGCCTCTCTCCCATCTGATTAACAGATCCATAAGAACATAAGTTGGGTTAGAGTCATTACAGCAGAAAGCAAAACTTTATGAAGCAATGCAGAGTGAGCTGGAGAAGGCAGGGGTTATCAAAACAATGAAATAAGTCTTGAACAAGATTTAAAAATTGAAAAAAGAATACAGGAAGTCAAAAAGAAAGTTGAATAAAAATGGTGCTCGCTGCCCTAAAAACAAATATGGACTCATTTTCAAAATCATGACCGTGTTTGGAAACAGACCTGCTAACCAGGTGACTGGAGCACTGCACTCCACAACCGCTTTGGAGGAATCGGGTAAATTGTTATTGTTGTTTACTTGTAATATTACTACAGACTTTTATTACATTTGGTACATGTAGAAAGCCTTCCAAGGATCCATCAAACAAAATAGCATATCATTAAATGCTCAGTTGTGTTTTGTGTGTTGGACCTGTGTTGTAACTAGGGCTTTGAGTCGTGAACTAAGCAGAAATAAGGATGCAATCAAACACAGCATTTCTGCAATACTGATAAGTGCTGATGTCTGTATAACTTTTAAGACCAATGTGCTTTGTTACAGCAATGCCAATAAGACTCACATCTTGCTTGAAAAGTCAGTGACTTAAGTGAAATTTACCAATCCTGTCTTTCATGTGCTTGTTTTGACATAGGTGAAGAAAATGCAGGTGGACAGGAGCATCACTTTTTAAACTGATTCACGTGAAAGATTTATATATTACTTGATTGTCTGTATATTTGTCAAATAAAAGTTTACTAAAATCTTTTGTTCTTTTCTTGCTCTACTGTTTAAAAAGCAGCTAACATGAGGTTAGACAGTGCTAGTCCTCGTGCGCCTACCTAATGACGATGTGAGGCTTGTATGGAATGTTGATGTTGTGCCACAAACATGGATGTAGTCTGCAGCAGAACATTATTTAAACTGATTCACCAAGCTAAAAATTATGTAAGCATTTGCAGTAAATTAAAAGTCTTACGTTCATCACATTGAACAAAACATCTTTGTTGTTACTTCCAAAACAGTACCCCTCCAACAGTGACATTCACATACTGATGTCATTGTTCTATCCTTTTGGCACCAAGTGAACGTGAATACAAGATCAGACAAGTGCAGGTGCTATGCAGGGGTACGTTTCCCAAAAGCGCCCATTAACCACTTATATAGTTGGAACCATTCAGTTGCAAGGTTCTAGCTATAGCAAATATGCTTTTGGTAAATGTTTCCCAGAACTGTTTTTCAAGCAGAGAACACAAAGAATCCAAAATCAGAGTATCTGACTAAATATCCAATTCTGGGTTAGTGGAGATCGTTTACAAGGAATCCTTAAAATGAATCAGATACTGTGAAAAGAAATATTTACAAGATCAGGGGTATGTTTCCCTAAAGCACAGTTGCAATGCAAGTATTTCCAACTACCACAGTTTGAATGATCAAAGTAATTATGCTGATAACTTACATCAGGTTGGGTTGTGAAAATGTGAAACGAAGTGGTACAAATCAGGCACAGTACAGCTCAAGTAGTGACAATCAAGAGGATGGCTGTTGCCATGTAAACCACTCTATTGCAGATTTTCAATTCAATTCTGTTAAAAAAAAATTCTATAGCACATTTTCACAACATTTCATTGTCTCAAAGCGCTTTATATTATCCCTGACCAAAGCTCCCAGTGAGCAAGCCAGAAGCAACAGTGGCAAGGAAAAGCTCCCTAGAAGGAAGAAGCTTTAGGAGAAACCAGATTCAAAGGGGGGGCTCATCCTCCAGGGATCAGGAGAGGAAGTAAAATGAACAAGATAACAAAATCCTAATTTACAGTCCAAATTTTTAAAAGATTTTGTCTCAATGCGACAGGAAGGTGATAGCACGCAGTTACTTATGACGTCACAGTATTTATTTAATCCTACAAAAGGACCAGAAAAAATTAAGACCTTTGTAAACAAAATTCAGTACTTTGTAAAAAAAAAAATATATATATATATTCTATACTTTTAAGGCCTTACTGTCACGCTGGGACGACGCACGGAGCGTTGAAAAAGTGCAGGAAGCAAAAAGTCGGGGCAGAAACGGGGTTTAATAGGAACAGTGACAAAAGAAGCATGCAAACACGGAATAACATTACAATGACCGGACTGGGGAAAAAAACGGAAACGCGGACTAAATACAATGGACTAATTGACAACGATCAGGAACAGCTGGTAAACACGGGGAATCCACTAGCGGTTAACGAGGGGGCGTGGCACACGAGAGGAGCGGACAATCGGGGCATGAAACTTACATTGATAGTATAGATTTCAATGCTTTCACAACTTTTGGCACCCCGGGTACCCTGTGTGTGAAGCGTCCTTGAGTTTATGAAAGGTACTACATACATAAAAATTACTGTTGTTGTTGAAAATAAAGTTTCCTCATGGGGATAAATAAAATATCACTATACTACCATCACTGTACCTTGACATCCTCTATCTGTACTTCTTCACAGCCCTGCAGCCCTCCTGCTGAAAAAAAGTAAAGTCTAATAAAGAATACAGGCAAAAGTGATCTAATTAGACACTTAGCTAATTAGACAGCGAGCTGTAATCCCTGACATAGACTATATATTCTTTTTTTCAATATAAATCTTTTTGTAAATAAACTTAAGATATATGACAAGGCAGTGGGGGTATTTTTTGTACGTGGATTACTCGTTTAGCCGGATGTAATTGTTGATGATTTGGCATGATCCTGGATCTGTTGGTTTTTCGAAACTCTTGCTGGATGTGTTGTCATAGCAGCACATCCAAATCCTCAAACCTGCTCGAAGCAGGTTTGTTCTATGTAAACAAGGATTAGCTCACACACTTAATCAGTGCCCGTACATGGAAATCTGATGTCATGGCCTCGCCATTCATGAATGAGCGACCAATTGATATCGGTGCGCAAATTATATGAAGAGAATTTAATATAGAGAGGGTATTGTGCGATCGGCAAGATCCTTTATTGCTCCCGGAGGAAATTCTTTTCGAAAGATACCGCTTCACCTGAGACTGAATATTGTATCTTAAAGATTTATTAGCTCCGTATATAGTAGATGTCCAACTACGCGAAGTTGGGCTCTCAAAGCCACACAGACAATGTGCATTGCCTTGAAATATTTCGCAAGCGGCACTTTTTTTGTATACTGTAGGCGATGCGGAAAATATATCAAAGAGTACAATTTGCCAGGCAATTCGCAATTGTTTTTCGCGGACACCTGCGAGTGCAGACAATTAAAGAGGTGTTTTATGCCATTGCAGGTAATGTATACGCAATAAAATCAGTTCTATAAAGAATTTAAAAATCACACTAATATTCTCATTACCCAGAATTTTCAAAGGTTTTGTCTGCCTTCTTATTAGCTTCAAAAGGAATGTTTTATAAATATTAAAGATTTCCTACATTTCGTATACATAAATTTAAAACACACACACACACACACACACATATATATGAATGAATTGTGTCATGTTCACCAGTTTGAAGTATATTTTTGTACTTCACTTTAACTTGTTCCCATGTCCTGCATGATTGTGCTTGTATTTGATCTGTAATTATGACAATAAAATAATAATGAAACATTGGAAACGTAATACTACATTCAAGTGATAAATGAAAGTGAATACGAAAGTTCAAACAAGGAGACCTAATGAATGCAAGTGTGTCCAATCACATCGATCCAGGTTTTATATAAAGAGTAAGTCTAACCCACTTCTTTGTCGTTACAGCTATTCGGTTCGCCCACCTCCTCCCCTCCCCGTCCTGGTTCAGGGTTGGCTCCTTTGCCTCCTGCCTGGTCACCCAGCCAGATCTGTCGGCTTCAGAGTCGATGGAACCGACGACCAACAGACGGGCTTCACCAAATCACTCTTCTCATACTCATTTAAATGGTTTAACCAAATAAACACTCGTGTCAACTATCTATTGAGGTCTCCTTGGTTGAAATATAATAATTAAAAATTATTTACACATTTAATTTGTCAGACACTTTTTTCCAACCGTCTTTTCTGGTTTGGGCCGCTTTTGATGTGTTTCCTTTAGTACATATTAAATCTTTGAATTCATCATACCCCTCTAATAAAAGGCGAGAGATTTGCCGATCAAGTTTTCTGGACTCTATATATATGGGCTTTTCAAGCAGCGCGGGCGTGCGCAATCATCTCAGATGATAGGATCTACTACACAGCTGCATTTGAAAAACCAACTTATCCCGGATGAGTTTCACCAGCATTAACTCATCCAAGATGAGGCATCTGATCTCGGATGATTTAAGCAATGTACGAAAAATACTCCTAATTTCTTTACAGTCACCAGAAGTACCGTGTTCCATAATGCCAATATTGTCAATTTCACCATGTATGGCACCATTGTCTTACTACCAGTTTCCATGAGGTTACTGTTTGGGCTCATGGTAGATGGAGGGGCGACAACCTCATTCCCTGTAAATTCCTCTTTGTAATTCCTTCGTATCTTCCTCACATCATCTTCTTCACTGCTCCTGCCAGTCTTACCTACAATCTCAATTCCTTTTAAAACAAAACAATTTCCTGACCCCTGCCGAAAACAGGTTCCTGTTAACAAGTCTTTTTGTCAAGGAATGGGATGACATTTAAAATAATTGTGAACAATACAATGCCCAAAATGCACAAAAACAACCAAAGAAACTTAGAATGGCTGAATTGCTTACCTCCCGCTGATTCTTTTCCAGAGTTTTTTCAGCTTGCTCTGCAGACTTCTGAGGGGAAGTCTGCTCCTCATTGCCACTGGGGTGGTGGGTCAAGCGAGTATATCATAATGTGACAATGCTGCCTATTCTGTACATACATTATATACATACACTATACAGACACTCCTCTACTTACGAACTTTCAGACATACAAACGAAGAGAACTATAAGTCCAAATTGTGTTCATTGGGCTCCCGTTTCCTGTCTTCCATCATTTTTTTTTCTGCACAGCAATTCCGCCTAGTACAACTTCTGGCCGCTACTCCTGCCGCACCAGCAGCAGAGCGTGCATACTCCCAGCATCGTAGTTCTTTGTACTTGCGTATACCCTTAAAATGATGTTGAATAACAACTTACGAACATTTCAAGTTACAAACGGCTGTTCGGAACATATCTCGTCCACAAGGAACTTCCAAACCTTATATTCCCAGCTATCGTGCATAACCTACACTCTGCACACCCTGTGTGCTTGATTACTACTATATACTAAAAACTTAAGTTCCACTAATACTGTTCTGTGCAAACTACTGTGTGCCTGATCGAAGGGCGCCCCAAAAGGTGGCTGCCCTTCACAGACAGCTTGTTCTACAAAGAGCAAGTTGATGGAGGTGTAAAAAGAATTTCCCCATGAGGGACAATAAAGGTTAAATTAATATACGAGTGTTGACATTGATCAGCTGTTAAAAGTAGTTACATATGTTGTTATGCATAAAATAACATAAATGTAGGTAAAGTTTTTGTGATGAAATATAGATGGCCATAAGAAGGTAGACAGCAATTTATTTTTAAAAGGATACTTTTCTGATGCAGTATTACTTAGGGGTGAGAAGGGGATACAGCCTGAAGAAACAACAGAACAAAACATTTTTGGTACTTTGGTATGAATCTCACTTCACTGGTAAGAAATATGGCATGTGAATCACGTGAAGCACACCATGTAGGGTTTGCAGTTCTCTTTCTTTTGATGCAATCTTTTCCTCCAGAGCTGGTTTTCTGAGTTCAATCTGTTCTTTTTCTTCTTGCATTTTCAGGAGTTTCAGTGCAGGCAGACTCTGGCAGTACTGAGTCTTGTGTTGCTCAAACACCTTTGTGTAGGTTTCGGTTCTTGTGTCATACATCCTCCTTGAATGGAGAACAATTATTTCAAGTAATCTGGTTAAGGTTCAATAAAATGTTGTTTTATAGACTTCTGTCTGAGATGTCACCAGTGTGCTACACTCACATGTCTTGGGTGTAGTTCTCCTCTCTGTTTTGTAGTTCCTCCTGAAGAGCACATCTAAACTGGAGCAGTAGGCTGTTAGTTCCCCTCAGGCTAAGGATTATATATATAAAAAGTCACATCAGGTATATTTTGATGACAAGACAGGGATGCTGATGGATCAGACATAACCTTGTATAACAGTGACACCATATTGCCATTCACAACCTGTTAGTTGAATATTTGTTTCAATTCATATCTCTGACCTTTTAATGCTGTCTTTGTAATGCATCACTAATTTCTGCCCATGACACAATTCCTTCTCAAGCTTCTCAGTACTTTGTTTGGTTCTGTCCATTTGTTCCCTCTTTTCAGCATTTTTTTCCTGGTAAACTTCAGTAGAAAAATAAATCAATAAATAAAAGTGGTGTTTCATAAATTCAGGATCAATAAACCATATAAACACAGGAAAGATGTAATATAATTAATGACTAACTGTGAATTTGCTGTTGCATCTCATTCTTTTTCAGACAGAGTTTCTGTAACTGCAGAACTGAAAACAGAAAGTTAATCAAACCAAATACACAACTCTATCGTATATACAAGCACTTCATATTTTTCTGTATTATACGTGGTATATGGGCATGTTAGTAATCTTTCAACAGACATTTTCATTTGAACTGGATTTAACTGAGATATAATTGTGCTGTGCACTCCAACTAAGAACATTGTGCTCGATGTCACAATAGGTGTAAATTTAAAGCAAAATGTTAAGAAGCAAAACTTGTATACTAAAGTTGCAATATATGTTTGCTGTCTTATGCTGTTATAACTATGTAGTACTGTATTTGTCGCCACTAAGGGTCGCTGGTGCAACTATTCAAGAGAGTGTTTTTTACCGAGGTGAAATCAGTTTTAGGTTGGATATTCGACGGATATTCAGATCCACACTCTCCAGACTTAGCGGCGGGGCATCACTCAC